ACCATTCCAATGTCCAGCACGTTAACCGTCTCGGTCCAGTGCTCTCGCCAATAGCGCATTTGTCTCCTAGGCGAGGTGGGTTCATGACTCGCCAAAGCGCCAGCGGTAGACGTGCGCCCAAGGTCTTTGACCTCCAATCAATCCATGGCTCATCAAGTGCCATTCCTAGGATAAGGTCATACCTTGCATCCAATTCTAAGGCTAGACAGCGTTCCACGCTATCAAAGCCACGGAACTTGACTCCGAGGTCCACAGGGACCTTCGGGACTGTGACACATGTCCCCGTCGCTAAGCGAGCAGTGACGATGTCACTCAACCGCGCTTTCAGCGCCTCAGCATACAGCTGACTTCCTTCTATCGTGGAGCGTCGCCTTGCCCAGGGGGCAACCGTTCCGAAGGTGACGGGTGTCTCCACAGACAAAACACCGCTGTATCTTTGTGTGCTGCCGGGTAGCTCGGAGCTCTGCTCCCTCGTCCTCAGCATACTTGAAATCCATGGGCACAGGCCCGCTCGACGAGCTGTTGAGTGTGCATTTTAACCAAGTCGTGCCGACTTGAAATTGAATTCGGTATTCAATGCTACATTCACCGCCTCTTTATATGAAGATAGATGCACACGGAAGGTTCTGGCCACGCCAGTGCGGAGGCCTTCCATAAAGACGGTCACGGTGACCACCTCCGGAAGGGGGCCTGCTGCCATCCCGGCAATGAGAGTGCGCATCTCTTGGACAAAGTCCATCAATTCCTTGTTGCTCTGTTGGATGGCAAGGAAACGCGATCGCACGCTATAAGCTTAATTAGGTGGCAAGAACACTCGTGAGAGCTGCAATTTCAGCTCCGCCCAGGAGGGAAACACAGCTTCGACTAAAGGGCCGCACGTCAGTGCCCATTTTCGCGCTCGACCACCGAGCTTTGATATGACTAGCGCCACGCGCTGTTGCTCGGTCTGGAGCATGACGAATGCGATGGCCATCTCGACCTCTCTTTACCAGAGCAGGAGATTCTCTCCATCCTTCTCCTCGAAGACCTTAACGCTCACCATGAGCGGCTTAGGGCGGGAAAAATCATCCGTCACTGACAGTGGCGTCATAGACGCAAATGATGCAGACATCTTCTGTTGCAGGTGCTCTAGCAGCGCGTTTTCGTAATTTGAAAATGCCTCTAGTCGCGCACCGAGACCTTGCGCAGCAAGATATTGCACGCCCTCAGGGCCAGCAAAGACTTCAGCTTTTTAAGCCCGTCCTGTATGCCCTGAGGCAAAGAGGAAAATTGATCCATCCTCACAGAGGATCAGTCTAAACGAATCAGGTGTGGATGGACTACAAGTACTTCTAAGTGCAGCGGGGCTGTCGTAGCTTTGCGCTTCGAGGAAGCGTAACTTAGGTCACCGACCTTTCGTTCTATACTTAGAACAAGTACGAGTTTAGCGGATCGCAATCCGCTAACTCCAAAAGTAATTATTGCCTTAACCTAAGGCTAATTAACTCTTCCGTTTGAATCCAAAACTGACTTTATTTATTTTGTTCTGCGGCAAATCCGCCTAATTTAAATGTATAGATTTCGATTAATATGTATAGTATAATCTGAATACATGTATAACTACTGGCTATCCAGCCCCGTACCGTATTCTTTCTTTGGTGTTGTCACACCATGCCCATCTGGTGTGATACACACCCCTGTTACTAGGGTATGTGTAACCCTGTTACAATTGCAGAACCATGTTTTTGTCTGCTTGAACGATACCAAACCATACTTTAAACTACACGATGATAAGGCTTTTATTGAAGTATAGAACGAAATTGCATAAACATGGAAATACTGATCATATAATTGATTGCGGTTATCCACCAGGGTACTTCTGATATCCTCTCAAAGTCCGAGGGTCAACCGTCTGATGTATATAGCAACGAATTAACCCAGCAACTTGCACCGAGAAAGCATTATATCTCGATCCACGTCAGTCAACGCCAAAAGGTTATGATCGTCCGCCGTCTTAAGCATGCCAAAACAGTTACAGTCTTTCAGTAGTAAAAAACTATACAAATTTACCTGCTTATCATACGAGAGACAAATAAGTAATGTGTATATACGTCATGATATGGACACTATGTTACATCACCACTTATTGTACAAGATACGTCAAACAGATACGCTCAAATAAGGTTCTTATGATGTTAGAAATACTGCTTCTTTGCAAATTTAGGAGATCAAGTCTGTCATAGCATTGCGTCTATGTTTTTTCAAATTACTAAAATGTTTATACAAACACTATTGTCAAAATGCATGTGCTTTTTAATGGATTTTCTAGATATTCGTAAAATGCTTTTGATCGTCAATCCCGTTTAAAACGATATGATCATTATTAAGATCCGAAGTCTGATCTTTAACCGGCGCAAATGATGCGCTGCCTCTTGTTGACCACGCTGCTATTCGCATACAGCGCGTGGGGATCAAACACCACAAGACACGATTCAAGTGCCATTGCCAAATTACAACGTGATGCATTTTTTGAGGCACCACTGTCAAAACTGCTACATGTTCCGCTAAGCGGCAACGAAGCGCTGGATCTGGACGCGCGACTGCAGCGCGCGTTTATCCAGTGTCGAGAACTGGGCGTAACTTCCATTATGTACGAAGCTGCTAGTGATACAAGTATGGATGACGTAGTTTATTGTAGCCGTTTGCGCTATCTGCGGCACCAACGGCAGCATGTCCGTAATATGCGGGCAACGCTGGCGTCGCATCAGGTGGTGGCGGATGTTGAGCGTCAAGTGGAGACAAGAACCACAGATGATCTTACTTTTCAAGAATTTTTTGAGCTTTATACTGAGAAAGAGAAACCAGTCTTGCTGCAGCTAAAGGATAACGGTAAAGACTCAGTGGTAAAGCTCCTAGGATTAGAAACGTTAAGTAACAGCGACATTGCAGCGGAAAATGTTACTCATGACGCACCAGACAAACTGGAACGATTTCTTGATGTCTGCTTCAGCCAAAAGACTGAAACGCAGGGAAGTTTTGAGTTGAGACTGCTACAAATTGAAGACGAGGCGTGTAGCACAATGCTGAAGCATTTTTTTCGTGTGCCTATTTACATAACCCACGACTACGTACAACGAACCAATGCATCTCATGATAAACTATTCTTGCCGGCCGTCTTTATACTTCCTCCTGCTACTGACGTTGGATTGAGTGCTTCTCAAAGCTTCAAAGACATCGTAGCCTGTCCGTACGGATTGCACATGCTGGCGATCCCTCTCGAAGATGGTGCTCATGCACAAGTGACGCTGATTGACCGCAAATTTGAGCCGATCAACCTTCCGATTTTACTTGAAGAAACGCAAAAAGAAGTAGAAGTTACCTTGGACGCTAACGTGGCGATCTCAGCCGATGGTGGAAAGCTTTTGGACAATGATTACTTCCAGCACGTGCCAGAGCTATACAGTGCGATAGAGCTAAGAGTTGGCAATCTTCTGTTTATACCGGGCAGTATTATCACGAAGATGCATTCTTTGACTTCGTCAGCTCGAACGACAAAACTTTTACGATTTTGCTATTGCGACGCAGCCAATGTCAAGGAGGTGAAAGAAGCTGCTGGCCTCGATGTCCTTCTCCTGGCAAATGACACTAAAGACAATGGAGTTTATACTTTGCTGCGTCCACTTCAAACTCCAGGTTTTGATTCCTCCTTTTCTCGACGTCCTACTCTTACCGATACAAGTTGGAGTACTTACATAAAGTGGCCTCGCGATCCTGCATTTTTGACCAAAAGAAACAGAAGATATCAACCCAATGATGACGACGACGACAAAATAGAAGAGCAGTTATCACGTCGTGAGCGACTAAAGCAATGGCAGGATGACAAGAGATGGGAAAGTTACATCGCATCGCTTACGTTGCCAGTTGCGTGGCCACCTCTTGTTGTCAATACCACCCGCACGACAGCTACTCTTCGATGGCAAGAACTTTATCAGCCTATGAAGAACGATCGAACTGAATATGGATACGAGGTGAGTTGGATTCGTGAAAATCAAGCTGGAATGACGACAGAGAACCTACAGGTGACACATGAGGCTATTAATGTGACTCAAAAACAGTTTAGACGCAGCAAATTACCTTCGACATTTTTTGGAGATGACTTCGATGGGCACGACCTTGAAGCAGTCATAACTGGCCTGCAAGCTGAAACTGCTTACTCCTTTTCAGTTCGCCTTGTTGTTGGAGAGGATCGAGGTGCGGCTAGCGGAATTTCTCGTCGTGTAGTAACGAGTCCTTGTACCCCACCTTCGCATATTCGTGGCGTTCCAGAGGTTGTCGACATGGAAGAAACGTGTGTGACTTTACGGTGGCTTGATGTCGAAGATGACGGGGGCAAAAAAATCGAGTTATATCTTGTATCAACTGAGAGACTGCCAGAAAAAGGTGAACAGGGCAACCGTGGCACACATGCAGGAGCAGATAATCGGGCACTTGTCGGTGAATATGAGAAAATCATTGCTGTAAATGCCAGCAGCGAAGTTAATCGAGAACAATTGACCTCAGGAGCAATGTGGCTATCGACCAAAATTTGTGGCCTCTTCTCTAATACAGCTTATATATTTCGAGTTGCTGCTATGAATGTACTAGGTGCTGGGCACTGGAGTCGCCGCAGTAACCATGTCGAGCTGTATCATCACTTGAAGCGCCTACTCATGCCCAAGAAAAGTGAGAGCTACTCTCAAGCCATCGCTATTCCAATGTTAAAAGGTGTCGGGGATCCTGGCTACACAGCTGTGAGTGGGGTCAGGATCTTGTCGCAAAGCGACTTATCTACGCTGGTTGCTCAAGATCCGCACAGCATTTATCGAGCCTCAGGGACGCAGGATGAAGACGCAACTCTGACTCATGTGGTGCTCTCCGACGTGCGAGAGCAAGTGCAACTGATGAGCCATAACGACGGAGCTTTTACCGTGGAGCGTACATTTGAGGCTTGGACGGGCCATTATAGTCCACGGCTGTATGACGTGTCTGCAGAATTAATTCTAGCAGATCCACCTGATGCTTCTCAGCCGTTGCGCAATTCAATTGCAGTTCGCGATCGAATTGTTCTAGCAATACGAGGTAAAGTGCCATTTGTGTTCAAACTACATTTTGCTCAGCGAGCTGGTGCTTTGGGAGTTATCATCGCTGACGCAAACGGGACTTGTGGTGGTGGTTTTGACCAGAGCTGTGTACCCGGAGCCGACAAAACGCGAGGTGAAGGGTTTGCAGCACAAGATCAACATATTTTATGGAGACAAGCACATATCCCTTGCGTTTTGGTGTTGCAGGAGGCGGCACAGGAGTTGCTGAATCAGCTTGATTCGAAAGCGTTCTTGAATTAAATAGAAAAATGCTTCATGACGTCGATGAGAGGCACTTGCATAACTTAAACTAAATTCTCCCTCTTAATTTGTCAATGTCAACAGCGCCGGCAGCCGGTAGGGTATGCTATGCAGATGTCTTGTTATAGTCCTGTCCTTTTTTAGGTGGAGCGCAGGCTTCCATTCAACTTTTGGAGCAGTGCTGTATTCAGCGCTCGGATATCAATTATCTTTATCTCAGTTGTTATGGGTTGGCCTTTTCGACAATATATGCATCACTAACATTGTAGTCAAAGCGACGTAAAAAAAGCATCTTGCATGGCATAGCTACTTCTCGGATGCCAATATGTCTTGTTTACTGAGTAAACATATGCACCGATTGATTTTACATTTAAATATGCGATGTGGCTGATAACCCACTAGAAGCGTTTTCAACCTATGTCCTGATGGAAGCGTAGACGCAAAAGACGCAGAAAATATCATAGGCGAGTACATCATGCAGTCCTGCTACACACCAATCTAGTATGATTTTGAGACACTTTGCGGTTGGCGATCCAAATCTGAAATCGGTAACCGCTCTAACTTGCTATGACAACGCTGTGAGATACCTCCAAGAAGGCCTCGACCGATTGTCGGTGAAAACACAGTCAGCTTTCATTATGAGGCCTAGTCTCCAGCGCTTCAAGCGCAAATACAAGAAACCTCTCTCTCTATGGATGAGAGAAGCTAAGATGACTATAAATCCGGCCATGCTCTTGACGAATTAGTAGCTAGCCGTACCAGCAATTCCCAAAATAGGATTATCGCTCAAGAGTGGACAGTACCATACAGTATCGCTGTGGATGGAGCATTGCTGACCTGGAAAATTTCGAAGGCACTTATTTCGCGATTGTTCACGTTGCTAAATCAGGTGTACTGTGTGCGATCGAAGTTTTTGTCTTTCCTCGGTGGATGCAAAAACCTGCGGTCTATCTTTAATAGGTGAGAGAGCTCATCGCCGTTATGGCGGCGGACACTCACCATCTTCTTTATGGGTTTTTAGACAGGCAGAACTTATACCGAGACTTTTGCTTCGATTAAGGTGTGGGTGTTTAATTGATGGCTAAACGCAATTTCTGTGTTGCGGTGTGCAGAAAGCGGAAGCTCGATGAGAGCTCCAGATGTATTGGACCTCAGCCATGCCAAGGATGACGAAAGCAACCTTTGAGCCTCCGAGAAGCCACGTTGTAATGGGGTTACACGTACCCTGGTAACAGGTGTGTGTCAAACGAGATAGGTATGGTGTGACCACACCCAAAGAAGAATACGGTATGTGGTTAGGTAGCCAGTAGTTATGCATGTATCTAGATTTTACTATATATATTTAGTATATTTAGGAGAATCTAAACATTTAATATTAGGCGGCTTTGCCACAGATAAAAATAATAAAAATTAGTTTTGAATTTAAACCTAAGAGTCTATTAGCCTTAGTTAAGGGACTTACTACTCTTGGAGGTAGCGGATTGCGATCCGCTACACTCGTATTGGTTCTTGTAAAGAACGAAAGGTCGGTGACTATAATTACGCTTCCTTAAGCGCAAAGCGACGGCAGCCCCGCTGCACACATGGTTTTCGCTGATGGTACATCTGCAGAAGTATCAAACATAAGCGCCCTGGCCCTGTTTCTATCGGTTAGAAGGGACGAGAAAAGTTGTCCATCATACCCTCATAGGATAAGTTGAATCTCAAAAGGATTGGCAGGCCTTTTTAGAAATCTTGAGTTTGTTTGAACGTTGTGGTCAACGGGACTCAGCCATCAAGGAGGGAATCTCTTAGATCGGTGAAGCTCACAGCCAGAATTGTTGGCTATCAACAGCAATGTCATGGTCTTTATGAAACCGTTCGAAGCCCTCGTGCTGCGTGGAATTTTGCAATGGCAGCATTCTAATGTTAAGCTAAAGCCTCATATATCGCGTGACCTGGGCTTTGGATAGATCAAGAGCTGATGATTTAGGCTATACGGCCTCTTCATCGGTTATGAAATTGCTGAGTTTTGAATCCTTCTCTGATAAAAAGCGGGGCGCATTGGATTGAGCATGAAGATGCGGTAGTATCGCTTCAGTATGGCAGTTGATCCCCAATGATATTGCCAAGTGTCCGAACAATGTTTCGAGGCATTAGTGGCATTAAGCCGCGGTCACAAGATGAGACAGCAAATTGCGATTATAAACTCGCTGAGACAGAAAGTAGTGACTGAACGTTGTCGTCCTCAGTATGTACCTATGGTGGGACGTCAACTTTCAGTTGTAACCTTTATTTCCTGTTCTAGAGCCGGTTTAGACGATGTTTATTGCGATCTCTTTCTCTAAGGTTGGTAAGCCGGGCTCCGTTAGTCACATCTTTAGAAATCAGGTACCACGGAAGACCAATATGTGTTACGAGAAAATGGTATTGATGATTTGGTAATACCGTGCAGCGCACCAATGTTGCGGATTAGTGAAGGTCTACGAGTTTGTGGCTTAAAATGCTATTCTCTTTATGTATGAAGTGACCTAGGAAATGCACTTCGTTATCTCCGGAAGATAGAAATGCGCCTACTGAAACGTTGTCACTCGAAAATGTTGGCAAACAGCTGCTGAGTAGCGAAGCCACTGAAATCGTACAGCTCTCATGCGAGGATAAACTGAGTATTCTTCCGTGATAAATGATTTCATTAATGAGTTTCTGAGTATGAGATATGAGCAGCAAAACTCAATTTTTCGCACGGGTTGATATTGCCTTCATTGAAGATTTATCCTGACGGTGACACCACCCATGTTGCCCTAAATTGGAGAGCGTCGCAGTATTAATCTGGATCCTGAAACAAAAATGCAGATTTACAAGGAGATGTACTGACGGAAGAAAACGGTAAGACGCATTTAATTCATCTTTCGTGTAAAGCGCAAAGCGGATTCTGTGAGAGAGTCTCCCCTCGCGACGCCGACTCTCTTAATCAGAAAGGCCTTTGGTAAGTACCAAATTGTACAAGCGTAGACTGAAGTGAATGCCGTCACAATTGTGGCGGAAAGCCGACTTATAGAAAGTGCTTGCTGCAAAATAGCATAGTCCGCTGCATTTTGTATGATGGATTTAGCTAGACACTGCGTTTTGGAGCAAAAGGTATAGCTACAGCAAAATATTACTCTCGGCAACACCTGTTCAACACAATGCCGTTACATGCGCCGCGTATATGTGTCAAGCGAATAGCGGAATGTTGTGTAAATAAGCCGCCTTACTATGCACCTTCGCAGTAGTAAATGAAGGCAAACTATCATCACACTGACAACAGCTGTGATACACATCAACCGCGTAAATGGAATTGACTACGTGCTAACGTATAGCGGAAACCGCGTTTCACAGCAAAGCCATGGCTACAGCGAATCAAAGCTCTTGGCAACACGTGACGTTTCTCTCGGCAACACGTGTTAAGCACAATCCCGTTACATACGCCGGGTACAATTGACAAGCGAAGAGCGGAATGTCATGTAAATAAGTCGCCTCGGAGTGCACTCTCACAGTGGTAGATAAATGCATACTATCATCACACTGACAATAGGTGTGATACGCATCAACCGCTTAAATGGAATTCACTATGTGCTAAGGTTTGATACAGTTAACCAGACACCACGTTTCAAAGCAGAAGCCATGGTGTTACAGGGTGACACCTGCCGAGTGTGCATTGGAGTTACATATATTCTATTATAAAAGGGCGGCTCACACAGCTCTCGTACCATGTTCTGTGCCCATGTCCTAGTTGCTAACTATCTTCAACTGCTCGTGATAAATCTCAATATCTCACCCACGTGGATGAGTTTCCAAGCGGGATGCGCAAGGAGTAGCTAGTTAGGCATAGGGACATTTAACAGCAACGTATATCGCCCTGTGATATAGATGAACAGGCTATGTACAAACTATAACGTCAAAATATTCCTTCATAGTTGCGCAGAGCACGGGTTGTCGGGTGTGATGACTCACCTGAAACACTTGCGAGCAGTGATCGAGTGAATACGATTCATCAAGCTTTTTCCATTTTGGACAAAATGATCTTTGATGACAACGGTGTTCGCTTTCTGGATGTCTTTATTGGTAAGCAAGGCCTGCGGGCAGATCTCGCAAAAAGAAAGTTTTTTCACGATTGTCAAGCGCCAATGTCTCAAAAAGGCTTGAGAAAACGGCTTGGTCTGGTCTATTACTTGCACAAGTATAGTGCGAATGATGCCAAGTTCACCAGTTTCCATGTAGTGATGGCAAATAATGATAAAGCGCGTTGAATAGCGGCATTCGTGTCTGCGATGACACATCTCGTGTGTGCCCCAGTAACCATTCTTTGTAAATCAAATCGACCATTTTATGTCGCTTAATGCGCTTCATAATTTGTCAAAATCTGAGAATGATTCCACGCGAAAGTCAGAAGGCTTAGCGGATGTAGTATTAGAATCTCACCATCTTCAAACTGACATGTTGCAGCGGGGCTGCCGTAGCTTTCTCCTTAGAGGATGCGTACTAAGGTTTTCCACCTTATGTTGTATTTCAGAACCAGTACGAGTGTAGCGGATCGCAATCCCCTACATCCAAGGGTACTGAAAAACCTTGACCATGCAAAGACGCTTTTCCGTTTAAAACTGAAACCGAACTGAATTGTTTATCCGCGGCAGAGCTGCTATGTCTAAAACCTTTCTGAGTCAGGTTTGGGTAATTTACGCGCCTGTTGTTCCTAATTAAATAATAAAATGGAATTAATATGCATAACTACTGAAGTCCTGCCACGTAGTGGCTTCTTGATACGGTGTAGCCACACCATTGTGTGATTTTACCGACTTGTGTATCCAACACACACACCATCTTGTGTGACCCACCCTTTCATACAAAGGTACGTGAACCCCGTTACACTTGTGATCAAGATCGGTTTGTAAAGCTTCCGGCACACTTGCTTGGCTCTAAGCAGTTGGTAATATACAAGAACCATGCATCGTCACACATAGCGACGTTGTCACCACACCGCTCACAGAGTGGTCACCCACGATCCAATCCACCTGCAAAGGGAGGTTACGTACGGGTTTGCTAATTGAGGTTGCTACCGTATTTGTTCGCCCTGCTAACAAGCTATCGTATTTCACGATGGCGATGCCGCAAATCTGTGAGGCGATATGTATAGCGTACGGGTCAGACGCAACATGTATTGTGTTGTTGAAAGAATCTGTGTGCAAGTAAAGCTTTTTAAAGGTTAGATATAGCTCTATTGCTTAGTAGACTGCGCGACTTCAACGCAATTTCTTATTTGAGCATCTTCTGAATCATCGCACCTGAACGATTAAATTTCAACGTGTGGAGACGCGGACCTTATGTACAAAACATTTTACCCTTCGAGTAGCCACCTCGCAAGAAAAGAATGCATACAGCTTTGTGAGCGCTAGGTAACAGTGGTTTTAGATCTATAAGGGGATATGATACGATGATATGGTTAGTGAAAAAGGATGATTTGAAAATGCATAAATACCAAAACCATGAAAATACAGAACGCAAATATACCAAAGTATGATACAATGATATGAATTGTAGCAACCTATATATATAATTGTTCACGCAGACCAAAACATGATACTACAATACTAAAATATCCAAAATTGATACATCGATATGAATAGTATTAAAGTGTGGTTTGAAATTGCTCTAGAAGACAAAAATAATACAACAATACTCAAGAAAATAAAATATGATACGATGGTATGATTATTATTGAAGTATGGTACGAAACTGCGTAAATATATCAATACATGGCAATACAAAATGCAAATACGTTAGAATATGAACTGTTATTTAGATAGTCTTAACGTCTGGTACAAAATTACTCAGACAGACCAAAACATGCTGCTACAATACATTAGTATAATTCTTATTAAAGTATAGTACGAAACTGCATAAGCGATACAAACCGCGCGTATGTCAAAAATAAGCAACTATGATATGAAAAGTTTTAAAATTGGTACGAAATTGCTAAAGCAGACCAAGACATGGTTCGACAATACTCAAAAATATCAACATAGGCACAAATATTTGGTTTTTAGTAATGATTAGCTCGAAATTGCATAAAAACACCAAAACATGGCAAAATAAAACGTAAAAATAAGAAAATATGCATTTATAATATGATTGGAATTAAAGTATGGTACGTAATTGCTTAAGCAGACCAAAGGATGGTGCTATAACACTAGAAAAATCAAAATATGGTACGATGATATGGTTTTTATTAAAGTATGGTACCAAATTGCATAAATATACCAAAACATGGCAATAAATAGGACAAATACGACAAAAAAGGAATTTATGATATGATTTGTAACAAAGTATGGTACGAAATAGCTCATGCAGACTAAAACATGGTACTACTATGCTAAATTATGTCATAGATTGGTACGATGATATGGATTTTATCAAAATATGGTACCACATTGGATAAATATACCAAAATATGGCAATAAATAAGACAAATATGACAAAAAAGGCATATATGATATGATTGGTAACAAAGTATGGTACGAAATAGCTCATGCAGACCAAAATTTGGTACTACAATGCTAAAACGTATCAAAATATGGTACGATGATACGATTTTTATTAAAGTATGGTACCAAGTTGCATAAATATACCAAAATATGGCAATAATTAAGACGAATATGACAAAAAAGGCATTTATAATATGCTTTTTAACATAGTATGGTAAGAATTAGCTAATGCGACCAAAACATGACACAACAATACTTAACATTTTTAAAATGTGGTACGATGGGTATGGATTTTATCAGAGTATGGTACCAAATGTATAAAATACCCAAAATATGGCAGTACGTATGTGATTCGTAACGAAGTATGGTACGGAATTGTTCAATCAGACCAACACATGGTACTACATTGCTGAAATATATCAAAATATGATACAATGATGTGGTAATTTATTCTATTATGGTACGAAATTAAATAAACTACCAAAAACATGACAGGTTTGGCGGAACGTCGCAACGCTATTCCGATTCGGCGCAAGAAGCTATAATGTAAATTGACGAATATGGCGGGCATGTGTGCAGTAGAGCCGTTGTCCATTTTCGACCGCTCGGTTTTGCTGTGGGCGGTGCAGCAGTCCAAATGTGGTGGCGATTACGAGCGCACATTATGGCGACCAAACCGCACCGCTGCGTCGCTCTGGTGGTGGCCACAGGCCATTACGCACCATGCAAGATTTCTTTTACAACGAGATTATAAAGAAGTGCCTCAACTTTGTTAACAAAGCGTGGTTACCTGACGTGGGTGCTGCTATTTATGCATCTCTCCACAAGAAAGACGACTCTGAATAGAAATTCGCTGCGACACAGCACCAGGTTTCAAATTTTATTGCTCACTACGATCTTTACTACGTCGTCCTACCAACGTGTTTATTCTGAATCGTAAATACCAGCAATGGAAAGTTTTCGATTGGACTCACATTTTGAAGAAAGTCAAGCAAAATGCCAGACGTTCGACATCAAGATGTGTGCAATTCGTGTGGACTCACTCCTAATTTTCGGGCTGGTGATATCTGCATTTGTCGATACTATGTACACTCAAACCAATGCGTGGAAGTAGGGTGACCAGGTGGCATACACCACATTTGGCACTTCCAGGACACCGCCAGTCCGTTTTCTAATCGAGAAACTCCGTTCGTAATGCATTGCGCTTGACAACCTCAAAATCGTTGCCACGTCATATCATCAAAAAAATTGAAATCGAGATCTCGCACTAAATTCTTTGTTGGATACGTAGTTTCTTAATCATATGCGCTACAAAATTTGATTTTCATTTAATTAAAACGATCTTTATGGCAAGTATACCTGAAAAACAATTCAATCATAAACGCGGAAACTTGCCCTCGCTCGATATATTTAAATCTTTACTTCGACTATCAGCTTGATATAACTTCGAATCAGCAAATAGCCATTCTGCATCTAAGTTTTCAGAAACATCAACAACGAGGATTGGGACCTGAGGCTCAATGTCTAAATTCTCACAAATTGGTTTTAAAAACCGATTGCTATTAACAGAACCAACAGCATAAACTTCAATCCTTCCATCCTTGGTCACCGCGACACTTTTTAATTCAATTTCGCCGGTCCTACGTGTATTATTTTTGTCTGGGATAAGCGACTCGAGTCCTTTGGCTATAAGACGAATGCCATCGAGCGAAACGTAGTTCCGACGTAAATCAACTTCTCGAATCATGTTTGTAGTTTGAGATGCGAGATTCAAAACCATTTTTTTTACTAGTACAAGAATTCGACCCATTCCTTCGCTTGTAAGACGATTACAGCGCAGATCAACTCGTTGTAGCTGTCGTTCATACTCTTTACTCCCTAACAAGCTCAATATTGGCGGCAGGTCATCATCAACGAGCCAGCATTTTCGTAGATCAAAGATACCCAAAAAGCAATTCGAAGTGGCTTTGCCAAGTACATCCGTGTATTTTCTTACAAGTTTTGACTTTGCACTTTGAACCGCGCGAAATTCTGTCAATAAGTCTGAAAACTCTTTCTTGAGGCGTTGTTTTTTTTCATGAATTTGTCTCTTTTTATCCGCATACTTTCGAACATTGCTTTCAGTTTGCTGACGAAGTGCCTCGAGCTGATTTTCCGACCGATCCTTTTTTAACTTAACTGCAATTCTTGCCTCTGACTCAAACTCCACCCCTTTGTTATTGTCATTTATTCGACCTTTTTTCTTCGACGAGAGAGCTTCTTGCGCACTCAAAAGTTGTTTTGTGTCTAGAATTAGCAGTTCTCGCTGCTTATCCTGTGCAAATCGTTTGTCCAGCTGCTCCTTCACTTCCTCATGTTGTCTTTGTAATTTTGCGAGCTCACGCTTCTCGGTGGCCAACATCTTGCGTTGTTCTTCAACTTGTTTCGCAGCATTTGTCTTCTCCAATGCCATCTCCTTCTCAATTTTTTTCTTCCATTCAAAAGAGTCTTGCAACACTCGTTCAAACTCTCGTATCTGGCACTGGCATGCCAACAGTTGCTCATCAGCGCTTTCGCGACATACAATCGCCTCATGAAGTTGAGATTCGATAATTTGCAACTGAAGTGTAAGCTCATACTGTTTATTGCGTCGCATGACAAGTTCCCCCTGAAGTTTTTCAATCTCCATCTGATAATTTGAATTCGACACAAATAATTCCTTTTGCATCATTTCACGCTCGCGGCGAGCTTTCTCCTGCAAACCATTCACTAATAATATCTTTCCCTCTGCTTGCATAGTTTTATTAAGAACTTCCACTTCGCTCTCAGCCGAGCGCTTAGTATATTCACGAAGTGAAGTTCGTAGCTGCTCACATTCCCGTTCCTTTACATCAAGTCGTGATTTTAAATCATCTACCACCAATTCTGAAGCTTCCAAAGTCTTCAGTAATTTGGCATTTTGTGTTGTCGCAATATTTATTGCTTTCTCGCATCCTTCAGCCTGACTGAGCCCAGCCTGCAAAGTCTCAATTTCGGCTTCCAAACGATTGATCTTGCGTTGTTGTTGCATCAAATCATTTTCCTTCGAAGTGACATTAATTTGCAGTCTCTCTAATGCTGATTCTTGCTCACCTAGCTGCACGCGTAGTCTATCGTATTGACCCGAGAGCAACCACACTTCGCGCGTCTTGGCGTCAATTGCTTCATCACGTAGTCGAATAAGCTGATTTTCTCGAAAACTTCGAGGCGACAGGCATGCGTCTACTTTTTGAGGTTGCAAATCCTCGACAGTCTTCTCAAGCCGACGGATGATTGCCTGTTGTTGACCCACCTCCTTTCGAAGCTCCTTCTCTATTATTATTGCTGTAGATAATTCGTCATCTTTCTGACTCATTAGTTTTTCTCTTGCAGTCAGAGCTGCACACACCATTGAAAAAGCTTCTTCATTTTGTTTTACTTGCTCACGAAGCTCGTTTATGTGAGCATTTAATTGTTGCATCTCCAGTTCCGGAGTTTGAGACTCAACACACTTTGGGTCGAATTTTAAGTTTAGTTTCTTAATCTGCTCCAGCAATTCGTCGACATGCTCACTTTTTCGGGTAAGTAATACTTCCTTTGCATTGATTTCGGCTGCCTGTTCTTCTGCAAGCAGCTTGAGAACTTGACTTGAGTCATCTAACTTCGCGATTCTTTCCTTTAGCTGCTGAATGCGAGTTTGGACTGCATTGGAATCGCATAGATCTCCCTCTTGCTCCACTTCCTCTACGTTCGCTTCGACTAATTCATCCAACATAAATCGTCAAGGCTACGCTACTAGTTGGCTTATGTTTAAATAGAACAAACAAACAGTCGCGTCAAGACAAGTTGAAATCCATTGTGATTACCGAAGCTGGTATTTGTGATGATGACGTTCAATAAATACTGATAGCTGTAGCTCCAATGAAACGAGTATTTGTCAGTAGAGTCTAGAGCCCTGTAAAAAGATAAGATACAGAGAGTGAATCTATAGTGCACATCTAAAGAGTGAATTGTAATATGCCTAACGGCTACAGTACCCTTAGCCGTGCGTACCGAAGTTGATTTACCTAGCGACATGCATCTATTTATTCTCACATTACAAGCAATCCTGTCTTCGAGGAAAAGTATACTCAACAAACGATCGCTTCTACACGTTGGATATCATCAATTTTAGCCACAAAACATTTTTCCAAAACGTCAGGCACAATATAATACGCAAATGTGGCTTAATCTCTATGTGCTCACATATCAAGACGGCACTAGTCAGGTGGTATGCTTCCAGTAGAATAGCCAACACAATGTCTTCTTCAGTCATGTTTCAAATGCAACGGTCATTGATAAAGCTCTAATCTGGTCAGAAAGCAATTGTTGGGAGTTGGCTGATTATCCGCTGTAATTTATGCCTGTATCAGCCTCATATTACTTCAGCCAATTTGTATTGAAGTGAACTCAAAATACATCACGAACAAGCAAGCATATATTGCAGTTCCCATGCTCACAGAGGCGCTAAGAATGCGGCTACGCGTTGTTTTACATCATCTGCTGAACTTTAAGCACAAAAACATGATGCAAAGGTTACAATGGCCAGTGGACTTTCAGTCACAACTAAATAAATCCTCTAACCTTTGAGCTTCCAGCACCGTTTCTTCATTGTTTGCTGACTTGTGCACAGCCGCGTAATCGGGAATAATCCGCTGACCACGTCCATTGTCCCGTGCCTTTCCGTCCGCTGCTTTCTTTGCAACTTCATTCTTCATCGAAACAAGATCATGTAAGCAATCGTTGATACGTTTCGTTGCTTCAAACTCTTCTTTCATCGTCACTAGTTCATGGCAGCAACTGCAAGTTGATCAAAAAAGACGCAAGAATTGTATTACTAGAAAATATGCATGTTTGTCATAAGTGAAGGCGTACCCGTCCAGGATTCCGACGGTTCCATCAATAGAGACTTGACCACTTTCAACACGCTTAAATAATGCTTTTAGAGCGAAAAGCTTAATAAAAAACGTGTATGTCGTAATTGCTTCACGGCGAGATGACTCGCGCATGTAATTTTTGCCCAATCCACGAACTTGTTTATCTGTGTGCACAGCTTCACCATTTGGCAGAATGACTTGCGCCTTGCCTTCTGCAGCTCGAAGTGCTGCACGAGCATCTGAATCAAATGAATAAAGCGAATTGCATCAGAAATCACGCTATTTCAATGCACTCGTAAGACAACCTAAACATCATCACCTTTCATGTACTCAACGATTTCCTTGCGAAATATATCTGCATCAATTTGTGTGCGTTTCGACTTATTACGCAGATGAAATTTATTTTCATTCCGAAGAACTGTAAACACACTGCTGTATAGCACCCACCTGCAAAAAGAGACGTATCAATATAAGTTTCCACATTGTTTCAGATGACAGATAACAAACCCAGGAAATATCTCGTTCATAGCTGGTGAAAGTGATGGGATGACGTGAGCTGGCGTATTGATCAGGGCAAAAGGCATTGATAACAGCTGCGGCAGCATAGTGACTGCAGTCGCAACAACTGAATACGGAGCCTTTTCAAAATTACAAGGGAACTTGATATTGCACCCGAGTCCAAAAAAACAGCCTTCCCCCGGATAAAATTCCTGATCGGGGGCTTTCAACGTGTGATTACTACCAACGTTTGCTCCATACCCAACGTTGCCTTTCCCTTGTGGCCAAATCGAGGCAATTAGAAGGGCCTGATGGTGGAAACCCACAAAAGGCCCAACAAAACTTGACGTCACTTCACCTTCAGCAATCGAAGTATTCGGTCCGATCACTGAGCTTATGACAATGCCATGACGCTCTACATGAGTTGTATCACACAAGAAAGTGTCTTGAACAATACTAAGCGCCTCAATTGTCGAATTCCACTGCAAGATTGAGTCGGAAACATGACTTTTGTCTTTAATGACACTTGGCTCCTCTTTTGTCGATAGAATAGTCGAATTCACCACATCACTGTCTTCTATAGTCGCAAAATGTCCCACAAAAGACTCTTGCACACGATTACACCCACGTACTCGTGCGCTTTGCGCTACTATAGCCATTGGAGCTTTTACCGCTGCCACGTATTTATCAACAAATGAGTTATACGCAGTCAGAAAATCGACATCATTTCGTTGTGTGACGACAGCAACGCCCAATTTGAAGGAAAGGTCAGCTACAATTCGTAAATCACGACCACCAGTTTCTACTCCGACGTGCAGCGAGTTACCGTTAGCAGATACAACTGCATCTTTGTTTTTTGAACCCGTAACACTGGTACATTTAATGATAGATGCCTGTGCATCGACAAGCACGTCCCGAAGTACCATAGTGTCCTTCACAAGGGCTTCATCCAGCACAACTACGTTTTTTAGCGCCGAATTATAGACGCCGCTCGCAAATGAAATCCCGTCCACGTCGTGACAAAATGAAGCAGAGAAGCAGCCAAGTACAACTTTACCGTGAAATGTATTCTGTCGGATTAGCGATGTCTGCAATTGTGCTTCTGCGTTGGTCTTCCGCACGTTATGCCAATTTTCAGCTTAAAAGTTGCAGTTGAAGTCAAAGGCTATTTAATTGATACTCATAGGTAAACGTATGATATTCAAGCCTACCAGAGTTGCCATTTGCTTCGAGCGCACGAACCTCAGCATCCGAGAGCTCGTAATATTCACGAGTGAATATATCGCAGCGTGACTGAATGTAACAGACGTGGTCAGAGGCCAGCAACGATGAGAGATCGTCCATTGATTCCAGCCGAGTATACTTTGTGAAGCTTAGTATCGAACTTTAACTAAATAAATAAATCCTTGTTTATATCAATTATAAGTGGAGAGCTGATCCTACCCAGATCATGGCAGTTCTAAAGCGCGAGTCTCTAAGTAGTTGTTCGACAGAGCCAAAGAAGCCTCGACTGAATGCGCATGGTGTCAAATCTGAGCCGACAAGATTTTCAGATGACTTGGAACGTATGAAGCCCGTTTCCACTAAAGCTAGCTCGTGGCCACGCAAGCCCATGGCACCCATAGACCCGAGCACAGACTCGGTCACATTTCAGTGGATTGACATTGACATGTATGATGGTCCACCACTAAAGACAAATCCAAAGAAAGGGTCAGTTGTACCAGGCGTTTCGGCTTCGGGAGACAGCAACCAGAATGCCGCAATTATTCGTCTCTTTGGTGTCACTATCGAGGGCCATAGCGTCCTCATGCATGTACATGGTGTCCTGCCCTATTTTTACGCTTCTTGCCCTGAAAATTTTAACGAAAGTAAGTGTGGTGAGGTACGACTGGCGCTTGATGCGGCAGTAAGCCAGCGAGACAGGGATAGTGGCAGCACTGCACGCGTTGTGGGCGTCCAGGTCGTAAGGGATAAGATGTCTATCTATGGATACCAATTTGACCGTAAAACGACACTTTTTAAGATCTATCTGAGTATGCCCAACTATGTCCCAAAGCTCCGGAGTGCATTAGAAGGTGGTCTCACGTTACCTGGCTGCGACTTTCGTAACTATCAGACATACGAAAGCAACGTGCCGTTTATTCTCCGCTTTATGATTGATGAAGAAATTAGTGGATGCAATTGGGTGGAAGCACCCAAAGGTACTTACGCAGTGCGCTCTGCGGCACAAAAGATGTCGTTGTGTCAGCTTGAAATTGATATAACGTATGAAAATCTCGTGAGTCACGCACCCAAGGGAGAGTGGGGAAAAGTGGCACCATTTAGAATCTTGAGCTTTGATATCGAGTGTATGGGCAGAAAAGGGCATTTTCCAGAAGCAAATCAGGATCCAGTGATTCAAATCTCGAACGTTGTTCAGGAACAAGGATCCCAAACACCAATTATTCGCAATGTGTTTGTACTTGACACATGTAAACCTATTGTTGGTGCTCATGTGATGGAGTTTGAGGAAGAAGGTGAGATGCTGGAGAAGTGGGCCCATTTTGTGCGAGAAGTGGACCCAGACATTATTACGGGGTATAATATCGCTAACTTTGATATTCCATACGTACTCAACCGCGGTAAGGCGCTCAAATTGCAGAACTACAATCAGCTAGGCCGATTGGCAAATTCGTACGTTTTTGTTATCTTCCTGCTTTTTATCGAGAGGTTTGATGTACACTGAACCGAGTTTTTGAAACGCAGAGCGGTTTACATGGAGAAAAAAACTTTCAGCTCAGCACAATATGGTAAAAGTGAAAATGTCAAGACGACCGTTCATGGACGATGTATGTTCGATCTGCTGCCTATTATGCGCCGCAGTCAAAACTTGAGTTCGTATTCGCTGAACGCAGTAAGTGCTGCATTCTTGGGTCAACAAAAGGAAGATGTGCCTCACGGAATCATCAGCGATCTACAACTCGGTACAGATGATGATCGTCATCGACTTGCAGTTTACTGTCTAAAGGATGCATACCTACCACTTCGACTTTTAAATAAGCTATCATATCTCGTCAATTTTATCGAAATGGCTCGTGTATCCGGGGTTCCTATTGACTTTCTGATTGAGCGTGGACAGCAGATTAAAGTTTTCTCTATGCTTTTGCGCAAATGTAAGAATGCGTCACTTGTTGTACCGACATTACCTCGGACGCAGGCCAGCGAAGATACAGGTTATGAGGGCGCTACAGTCATTGAGCCGAAAAAGGCATTTTATTCCGTGCCGATTGCGACACTAGATTTTGCGTCATTATATCCTTCAATCATGCAAGCGTATAATCTGTGCTATTCTACGCTTGTAGCACCTGGAGATGTAGACAAACTAGCTAGTGGTGATTATGAGAAATCTCCATCCGGTGATATATTTGTGACTCGTAAGAAGAAGAAGGGTATCTTGCCTCTAATTTTAGAGGAAGTGCTGGCAGCGCGTAAGCAGGCAAAACGAGACATGAATGCTGCTACCGATCCAATGGAAAAGGCTGTGCAGAATGGTCGACAACTAGCACTTAAAGTGAGTGCCAATTCCGTGTACGGTTTCACTGGTGCAATTGTTGGCCAAATGCCGTGTATTCCAATTGCATCCAGTACCACGGCCTATGGTCGCCAGCTACTTTTTCGAACTCAAGAAGAAGTTGAGCGGATTTTTACTATCGCAAATGGTTACAAAGCTGACGCACAAGTGATTTATGGTGATACAGACTCTGTTATGATTAAGTTTGGAGTTGATTCTGTCGAAGAAGCCATGCCTCTTGCCGAAGAGGCTGCCAAACGCGTGTCTGAAATTTTTCCGAGCCCGATTAAGCTCGAGTTTGAAAAGGTTTACTTTCCGTATTTGTTGATGAACAAAAAACGATATGCTGGTTTACTTTGGACAAAGCCTGACAAGTATGATAAGCTGGACTCAAAGGGACTTGAGACTGTACGTCGTGATAACTGTCTACTAGTGCGGCGTATGGTTGATACTGTTTTGCGCAAGATTCTCATCAATCGCGATGTAACCAGTGCGATTGCGTATACGAAAAACATTATTTCAGATTTACTGCAAAATCGTATTGATATTTCACTTTTGGTGATCACAAAAGGATTGAAGAAGACAGTCGATCAAGATGACTACAAGGTCAAACAAGCTCATACTGAGTTAGCTGAACGCATGCGCAAACGTGATCCAGGCTCGGCTCCAGCGCTGGGTGAGCGTATTGCCTACGTAATCATTGACAAAGGTAAAGCCACTCCATTGTACGAGAAGGCGGAGGATCCAGTGTATGCTTTGGAGAACAGCATTCCAATTGATTGTGACTATTATATGAAACAACAATTGCAAAACCCACTCGAACGCATCTTCGAGCCGATTATCGGCTTGAGCAAAGTCAAATCGGATCTTCTTAATGGTACTCATACTTTAAAGCGCTCTAAACCTGTGCTAAAACAAAACAGCGGTGGTATGATGAATTTTGCCGTGAAGAAACTCAAATGTCTTGGATGCAAGGCTCCTCTCAACGGCAAAAGCGCCCTATGTCGTATCTGCATAGAGCGCGAGGCGGAGGTATACTCACGCCAACTTGGATCGGTAAATGAGCTGGAGCATTTATTTGCACGACTATGGACTCAATGCCAGAACTGTCAGGGTAGTCTGCACCAAGATGTGTTGTGCTCTAGTCGTGATTGCCCTATCTTTTACAAGCGTATTAAGGTGCAAAAAGACCTTGGAGAAGCCCAAGCATCATTAGAGCGTTTTCAATCGGTGGAGTGGTAACTAGATCAGCTTGCAACAACAGTCCTGTCTCCGAGTTCTCGATGTATGGTATCCAAAATCTAGGCTTCTGCTTACCGACAAGAAATTTGGAATACTCGGTAGTGGTTGAAAACCGAGCAAGTGAACTATATTGCTCTAGTCTTTCGTTTCAATAGCTCACAAGTGAAAAGACATTAGCCGAACATTCTAGTGAGTTTTCTGTTTCGCTGTTGGATACTTTCTGAGAATATCAATTTGTACAGATAGCCGCTCTTTGCAGGTCAAAATGTTAGCAACCGAGATCAACAGATTCACCCGGAAGAATTTTAAAATCAAAGATCTTTTGTATATTCAATATTCACTTAGCCATAAAGTTTTGGACATAATTGCGTCAGATAGTCATCAGAAACATTTTTCCTTTCAACTAACGACGCAATGAAACTGCTCGAGATAAATGCAGAATCGTTGCAGTGCCAGTGAAGTTCATATATAAAGTAATCAATAACCTCCGTGACTTTAAGAGTTGCTTAATGTATTTTGTATGAAAAGCTTACCCAAATCAAGGATTCAACGGGAAGAAGAAACGGGAAGCTCAGCCCTGTCTTTTTCGAAACGTTCAAATTCACGAGAAGCTGATGATATTCTGATCAACGGGAAGTCAAGTGTGATGCACAGATCCGCGATAAATGATCGAACGTCGCTAAGATTTGGTCTATTTTCGAAGCGAAACGAAGCTTCATGTCGTATTTGACATTGCAAGCTGCTTCGACTTTCGAATTCTGATCAGTTTCTGTGGCCACGCCCACGCCCACGCTGTATTACAAACTCTATCAAAACGCATTGCGCTTTGTTTCAGCGACTACTCTTATCGTCTCAGCCTTTATCGCCGATGACATGCAATCGCCAAAGTGCAATTTCTATTTCCAAGTTGACACATGCTACAGATCACATTCATTTCCCTGTCCTTCCAAACTTTGCATCTCTTTTAAACAGAGAAAGTATCAATGCGGAGCTCGAGTATTTGGAGAGCCAACATGTCAAGGACATTTCGGAAATACGCGCGAGAAAAGTTGTCATGGAATTGAAGTATGACGAGACATCTGAAACTTGTGCGATTGCTCTAAGCACTTCGAACGTCTTCGTACAGCAGCAAGATCAACCGCATTTTCCATTGGACTGGAGTTACAACACGTCTCTCAAGGATAATACCAACAATTTATCAATGTCACGTGCAGTTGATCGGGAGGGGCAACCTGAAAGAGTCACAGCTACCTCTGTTGTCCTTGCAAACCATGTACCTTGCACAAACGTGACATCTTCAAGCGATGTCCCGGCAGAAAGTAATTATTTATGCCACCACGACGTCGGCGATCCCACATTTCAAACCGCCATCCTTCCTCTAACGTCTCAAAGGCACTCATATGAACATGAGAATCGATCGAGAACATACGCTTGGCAAAATACGTCTAATTACTCGTCTGCAGCTTACACCGAAAAGTACGAAGATGAGGATGAGGGGAATTTTACCAAACGACGCCACGTGATACACATGTCGCCGTCTCGTCAGCATCTTTGTGAACCTGAAAATAGTATGAATGGACTGGAACCATCCAAGATGCATGTGAATCCACTATGTCTTCCGAGCATACAATCAATGGTTAAAGGCGACGGATCTCAATGGCACTCCGCTCAAAAGAATGTTGATAAAATCATGCCCATCATTCCTCTTAGCATCAATGGAAATCGAAGCTGTACCTCGGTAGTAAAGACTAATTCTGAGGTTTCACGACCTTCAAGTCCTCAATTGGAAACGAGAACCAACGAATTGTGTACACTTGAAACATTAGTTCGGAAATCTGACGAATTTCTGAATTCTAAGAGCCTTGTCCGCAATCGTCACGATGAGATCGACTGGGTAGCGACATTTTTAAAGGTTGGCTTCGACTCGTCGAGTATCTTTTCCTCTATGTGTCCACTGCGCAAGGGTCGATGGAAATCTGAAGAAGAAAATTATACCATGAGTCTATTACGACTTATTGAAAATGGGACGATTTTCTTGCGGCATGGGCAAAGCATCCGAAATTACGTTGGTGAAAAATTGCACAGCGATGACATGCGCGTGCTAAAAAAACTAAGCAATTGCAAGATGTACCGGTTTGCGAAGAACATTAATCTTCGACTTGCAGAGGCGAAAGCTTTAACATGACCGTGGAAGGTGTCCGGATGGAACTGGAACAACTTGAGGTGCTTAAGTTTGAGTTTCTGCGATCAGTGCAACTTGAAGCACTTGTGGCTGTGCGCAAATATCTCAGTAAAAGTCCTTTGCAGAAATTTTTTGATGTGCGCGCTTGAAAGAGTTAGTATCACAGGAAATAGCAGTTCATAAAGTATCTGCGTCGAAATACGCTATGAATTCATACCGTTAGCCCTTCAAAATATACATGACAAGATGATAATCCTTCTTTGCCGACCATACATTCGACGCTAGGTATAAAAATGTCTCTATGAGGAGGCGGATGTGCTTTCGTGTCGCACCGATAATGCAATGTCGCCAATCGATGACGCGATATGTACATCGTACAGGCCAGACGTAACATATTAGGAATATTTGAAATTTGGGATATCGTTTCAGCTTTATCGAAGCATTTGCACCGCATATCGTGTCCCGAAAGCTTGCCATATAACGTCACTGACCCACTTGTAATTCAGCGTGCGCGTCACTTGGTGTTGCTGAATCAGTTATGCCGTCACAATGTTTCAAAAGATGGAAACCCTGTTCAACATTAAAGACCGCTCGTCTAGCTCGCGACTTACAGTCGCATTCTTCCCAGGATTTGTCCTCAAGGCAACACCAAGCCGCTTTGATTCACTTCAACAGGGATAAACCATGAAGGAGGCGACAAACCAGGCTCGGATCTGTCAAGATCTCTCGTCACAATTAGTTACCATGGATATTGCGGCATACGGTTGCTTACTTCCTTGTCAGCATCTGAACACTCAGATGATTGCGACTCAAAATCGTATATACCTCCTGGTTTTTGCTCCAAGATCCTAGCAAAATCGCTGCTATTTTATCATGTCAATCCAATACGCTGCACAAAAGCTGCCGCAGCTTTGTTCTTGCGCCTAAAACGCTTACATTTGTAGGGAATTATGATTGATCATGGCCTCACTTGATCAGGGGATCGTGACACCCAACGTTTCTGACTTCTTGTTGATATATGGCTCGTGGAGCTATGCCATACCTACGTTGAGGTCGTATTTTCACTGATCTACGCTATAAAGCGCTTCGGACTTTGCTTACAGATTACCCTTCGACCCGGCAACAAATGTCCCCATCGAAGCACGCACGGATATGATGTATGTATTGTCATCTTTTGGGTATTTTATACAGTTTGGTTTCATACTTTAATAAATTACCACATCATCATACCATATTGTGATATATTATAGCATTGTAGTTCCATGTCTTGGTCTGCATGCGCTTTTACGTACCATACTTTGCTACAATTCATATCATAAATGCATTTTTTGTCATATATGCCTTATGTATTGCCATATTTTGGGTATTTTATACAGTTTGGTTCCATACTTTGATAAATTACCACATCATCATACCATATTTCGATATATTTTAGCATTGTAGAACCATGTTTTGGTCTGCATGCGCTATTTCGTACCATACTTTGGTACCAATAATAGCATAAATGCATTTTTTGTCACATTTGCTTTATGTGTTGCCATATTTTGGGTATTTTATACAATTTGGTACCATACTTTAATAAACACCATATCATCGTGCCATATTTTGATATATCTTAGCGTTGTAGTACCATGTTTTGGTCGAATGAGCAATTTCGTACCATACTTTGTTACCATTCATATCATAAATGCATTTTTTGTCATATTTTTCTTTTGTTTTGCCATGTTTTGGTATTTTGTGCAATTTCGTACCATATTTTAATAATACTGATACCAATGTATCATATTTTGATATTTTTGAACATTGTAGTACCATGTATGAGCAATTTTGTTACAATCGTATCATAAATGCATTTTTTGTTAGATTAGCCTTATGTATTGCTGGTTCCGGGAACCAAATACTGCGTAACTCGCCAATGGCACTTGCCCAAGGAGCAGCGTGACGCCATTGACGACTTCCTCCGAGGGAAGTACGATGCAGGAAAGTGGCAAAAGAGCAAGTCTCCCCGTTCACTCCCACGTTTTGTGTCCGAAAGCTGAACGGCAAGCGGCGTATCGCTCACGCTTACAATAAGCTCAACGCTGCCACTATTCCGGTACAGACGCTGATTCCTAGAAAGGATGTTCTTCAAAACAATCAGGTAAGTACATTGCAATTGACTTGATCGATCGGTTTTACCAATTGCTCATGAGAGCGAGTGATATTCCGCTAACACCGATGAGTACTCCGAGCGAGATGCTCTGGGTGTGGCTGGTGATGTCCGAAGGGCTGTCAGATACGCCAGCAACATTTAATCGTCTTGTGACGCAGTTGTTCAGGCCCTACCGGGCGTATGCACAGACATACTTCGGTGACATATTCGTCCACAGTGGTGCGGGGTACGGGAGAACAGATGAGGAAAACCACATCGTCCATTTTAAAGCGATGCTCGAGTGCATGCGCACGAATAAGCTGTAAAAGTGCATTTTCGGCGCTGAGAAAATCCCCTCTATAGGGTACTTCATCGGGTTAAGCGTGACCTTCGAGTGGACCCCGCTAAGGTCATGGTCATTGTGGACTGGTTCCAAAAAAGCAAAAAGAGTTGCGCAAGTGGCTTGGCCTCGCCAACTACTTGCAGAAGTCTAGCGCAAACTATGCGGAAATGGCACGGCCATTGCCGAATCTCCTTAAGAAGGATACGGAGTGGTGTTGGGACACCGAGCATCAGGAGGGCTTTGACAGGGTCGAAGACAGCCTCCTTCATGCACCAATACTGGCCCCGATCGTCCTTTTAGTGTCGTCTGTGACGCTCGGACTTTGCCATCGGCAGTGCACTGCTACAAGCAGACGCCGAGGGCAAGATCGGGTGATCGCGTTCGAATATCGCCAGCTTAAGGCTACGGAGATGAACTATCCAGTTCACGACAGAAATTACCTGCGATGAAGTATGCACTTGTCAAATGTAGGTTTCCCCTGTCCGGCTTCAATTTGTTTGTGATCTACACAAATCATGCGTCACTACGCACTGCGACTCAGTCGCCTCACCTCTCGCAGAGGATGGTCAGGTGGTTATGCTTCCTTGCAAGATACAACTTCGAGGTGAAGTATAAGCCAGGAAAGTAGAATGCTTTGGCTGATGCATTGTCACGCAGGAGCTTGCTCTTGCTACGACGGTGACGTTCGCTAGCGACGGATTTTTGATCCGAGCGGCATACGCGGGTGATGATGTGCGTAGCGCTGCTACGGGCTTTTGGAGGCAAGGAGTTGAAAACTTGAACAAGAAGCTGTCGTCGCGACTGCGCGCACAAGTGCACCGATATTCGCTGAACAACGGATTGCTATTTATATAGCACCGACTCGACGGATACGCCACGAACTGTGGTCTCACAATGAGGATTTGAAATACCGTATCCTCAATGAGGCCCACGATACCCGACTTAGTGGTCGCCCCGGTCGTGAGAAAACGTACAGCTCGGTGAGTTGCCACTATTCGTGGCTCAAGCTGTACAGATGGACGAGCGCATATGTGCGCACGTGTGAGACATGTCAGCAGGTGCGGCAACACCGCTGGCCAGTTTACCGGTACCTTCCGGGTGTTGGCAGTCCATGAGTATGGACTTTGTGTTTGGCCTGCTGAAAGACTCGGCGGGCAACACGGGTTTCGTGGTCATTGTTGACCGTATGAGCAACATGGCTCATCTTGCGGCGGTACCGGAAACCATCGACAGTGTCGGTACAGTAACGCTATTTGTGGATCGTGTCTTTCGAGAACATGGACTCCCGGAGTCAATTGCCTCTTACAGAGACCCACGCTTGACCGGGAAGTTTTGGTCGTCGACCTCAAGGTGCTGGGTAC